GGCAATACACTCACATAAAAATAATAATTTTTTTTAAAGAATAGAAATTCGGGGCTGGAGAGATGGCTCAGTGGTTAAGAATACTGGTTGTTCTTGCAGAAGACCAGGTTCAAATCTGAGCACCCACATGGCAGCTAACAACTGTCCTTAACTCCAGTCCCAGGAGATCCGACAGCCTATTCTGACCTCCTCAGGCATTGCATGGCACGGGTGCACTTACTTACATGCAGACAATATACACATACACATAAAACAAAAATAATAAATAATTTTTTTTAAAGTTAAAAGAAGAGGCTTGGGCGTGGTGCCGCACTTTAGTCCCAGCACTTGAGAGGCAGAGGCAGGCGGATCTCTGTGAGTTCAAGGCCAGCCTGGTCTACATAGTGAGTTCCAGGACAGCTGGGGCTACAGGGAGACCCTGTCTCAAAAAGACCAAAAAAAAGAATAGAAATCCTTTGTAGGCTTGATAGCTCATATCTTTAATCCTAGCACTTAGGAGGCAAGGGCAGGGGGATCTCTGAGTTTGAGGCTAGCCTGATCTACATAGGCCATCCAGAGTTATACAGTGGTCTCAAAAAAGGAAGGGAGGGAAGTTTTTTTTTTTTTAATCACAGCTTAGATAATATACTAATTTCATTTGATAAATTATAGATAGCATTTAAAACTTGGTCATACTTAGTAAATCTAGTTTCAAACTTTTTGATCAGATGAGATAGTTAGAAGTTAGGCTGTAATCAGGACAAAAAAAGAACTTAAAACCTTACAAGTTGAACATTCTTGTTTTTCATCTATTGCTACCTTTTTTTTTTTTTTTTTTTTGGTCTTTTTGTGACAGGGTCTCCCTGTAGCTCCAGCTGTCCTGGAACTTGCTATGTAGACCAGGCTGGCCTCGAACTCACAGATATCCTCCTGCCTCTGCCTCCTGAGTGCTGGGATTAAAGGCATGCACCACCATACCCAGTGGATTGCTACCTTTTTTTTTTAAGTGTGTGTATGTGTGTGTGTGTGTGTTGTCTGACTGTGTCTCTGTTTACAGGGTGCCTGTATGGAGGTCACAGGACAACTTTCAGGAATCAATCCTATCCTTCCACCATGTGGGTTCCAAGGGTCAAACTCAGGTCATCAGACTATGCATTGTCAACCACAGTTTTCTAACAGTAAAATGTTCCGAAACAGCCTAAATCTATAAAAATGCGGGAATAATTAAATAAATTATGACATTCCATTCAATAAAGCAGCCTTTTAAAATTATTATTTACCCAGAGGTTTTAATAACATATGACAGCAAGATACAGAATTATGTATATACCACAAAACTGCAGGGCTTTTTGTTAATTAAGCACACATACATAAAAATCAAAGTCTGGAAGGAAAATATCCAAAATTAATAGTAGTTACTTGATGAGTAATGGGCTTGTGATGGGTGATTTTTTTTAATGTAGTTTACATTTTTGTAATTTTCCTGAGTATAAATTACTGTAACAATTAAAATGCATGCATATTTAATTATATGTAATTTTTAAAGTAATTTAATACCTTAACTATTCCAAGCTCCACTATCTTAAAAATCTGGAATGTAGGTAAGATTCTAGATGTTTAAAAAATTGTCCTGAGCTGCTAAAATTAACTCGGCAAAATATACATACAAAGTATTATGTCCAAGATCGTCTGTAGTCCAAAGCCCAGAGCTCACAGAGTAAGCCATGCATGCCCATCACTCAGATTCTGCTGGCTCTCACTTTGCACTCAACTCTTAGGACATCAGGTTTACAAAAGCCCAGCAAACTTGCCACAGATTATTTTTGAAAAGAATAAAGCAAGCTCTGTGAACCAGAGCCTGGTGCAGCCACAGGAACCCAGAGCAGCTCCACACAGGCTCTTCATGGAGCCACTGCTTCGTACTAACCGGTTTGTATTAGACAAGTCAGCAAGGGTATGGTTTTGTTTAATTTTTTTATGTAAAGTTTTTCATCGCACATAGCTAAAAATTAAGAGGACAAAAAGGAATAAACCCTAGACATGTAGACTTCCTTAGTGGTCTTCAAAAATAACTTTTTTTTTTTTTGGTCTTTTTGAGACAAGGTCTCCCTGTAGCCCCAGCTGACCTAGAACTCCCTATGTAGACCAAGCTGGCCTTGAACTCACAGAAATCCACCTGCCTTTGCCTCCCGAGTGCCAGCCCGGCTTCAAAAATAACTTTTTGATGTAGCTGAGGCCTCCACCTACACCTACTGAGTGCTGAGAATACAGGTGTGCCTCATCACACCTGGCTCCATGTTCTTCCATTCCTGAGAGAGAATGCTGCTGATAGTTTCCAATTCTCATCTGACAGTTTCATTTCCTGAGTTCTCATGAATTCCAAAGGGTGGGGGGTCACGGGGAACAGGGGATGTCCAGAGAAGAATGTTACAAAATAAGGATGTCAGAAAATACCAAATCTCCACTTCTCAAAGCCTTAGTCTCCATGCTTAAGAGGAGTAATGTACAGGCTTCCTGTCATTGTGTTAGTGGACCCCTGCAGTGGCGCTCAGCTTACACGTCTTGACATTTAAATAGGGTTGGTTGAACTTAAAGCGTAATGGTGTGGGCTGTGGACTCAGACAGAGTCTAGGACAGTTGAGCCACTCACACGTCCTACTCACCAGCCTGCCTTGCTCCCAGGGCAGATGCTGGCGTTCCACCCTGCTGAGAACAGAATGGATGCCCAGGAAATTAACTCCTCCTTCCCACCAAAGTCGGTGGGAGGAAAATCACACATTATTACTTTTGTGTTGTGCAGAGGAGAGCTTTCAGGGAGTATCAGAATCAGTGAAACCCCTCTTCCTCTGTGTGGTAAGCCCCAAGAGACTTGTATGTGGGGATCTGGTTCTGGTGCCCGTCTTTTGACAGCAGAGAAGTGCAGCAGGAAATGAAGGGGTGGGAGCTGCAGCCCACAGAGATGTGTCAGGACCTTCGCCCTTGAGTCAAGATCCATGGAGCGCCTGGCCTCTGGTTGGCTGCACCCAGTGCCGTCCCTGCCAAATCGACCAGCTGATAGGGCTGCTGGTGCTGTTTTAGTTTGCTTACCTGATCAGCTTGTGAGGTCATTTAAAGAGGACACTGTGAGCAAGCAGGAGGAGAAAAACAGCAAGGTTGACAAAAGTATATAGCACACCCCGTTTCAGTGAGTCTTGACAGCACATTAACTGAAAACTTAAACTAAGGCCAGCAGATTTTGCTCAGTTTGGTGCTGTTTTTTTCTTAAGAGCTAAAAAACAGTCATTTGCTGGTCTACTTGTCCAGTTGGATATGCGCCTGGGCACAACTCTGATTATCCAACCATACCGAGACAAAGTTGACAAATGCCACTAAAATGATTATGATTGAGAATAACTTTTCTCCTGTGCCCTGGTCTGATAACTGGTTACTGTATGGTATTTTCTGATACAGCTTTTGGTCTGGGGTAGCTTTCACTTTGCACTGCTCTCACTAGGCTTTTAGACTCTTGCCTGTCTTATACCTTGGGACTTTGAAAGACAGAAATCTAAATGAAGACGAGTCATAGAAAAAGAAGTTATCCTCCATGTCCAGTTTGATTAGCTTGTTATGCAATGTAAGTGAATATCAGATTCTCCTGTAAAAAGGGCTCCTATGCCCTTTTTATCCTTAAAATTAACACAAAATGTGAAAAAAAGAGAAAATAGTATTACTGGAATAATTGCCCTGAAGGCAGGGCTGCTTTGGGGTTTTTTGTTGTTGTTGTTTTGTTTTTGAACCAGGATCTCATGTAGTTCTGGCTGGCCTAGAACTCTGTGTAGACCGGACTGGCCTCAAACTCAAGTTATCCACCTGCCTCTGCCTCCTGAGTGCTGCGATTAAAGGTATGTGCCACCACCTCCAGCCAAGTGGCTGCCTTTGAATCTGTTTCTCCTGCACCAGGCCCAGCACAGGTACTAACTAGCCATTGAGTATATGTGGTTTCTATCCTGTCTCAACTGCTGTCTACTGGTTGCCCTTTGACAAACCTCTTAACCTGTGTTTCCTCATCTGAAAGGCATAAGTCGAATGATTGTTGTTTGCACTTCCCTCTGCTTTCTGTTGTTGCAGTTGTAATGAAACTAATTTCTTCCACAAATAATGGCATCTAGAACTACAATTAACACTTCCCGCAGGCTCTGCTAGCAAAGTTATAACCATCATCCCAGGGTCTGGATTTTCCAAGCCATTAATTATTGTTCATTATTTCAGACTCAAGTGTGAGAATATACCCTGCTTTCCTGACAAGACCTTTGTAAGGACCCAGTAAAATGATGTATGTGAAATTACTTCAGAAACCATAATGCTGTGTATGGCTGAACAGTGATTGTTATTGCTGGCTCGAGGAGATCTTCCTGAGAAACAACTTGGGCTCAAACGGAAGCACTAAAGACTTGTAAAACTGCATGTGGCTAGGCTTATAGAAGAGATGCCATTTCTTATGGTAATTTTTCATTTAAAAAAGAAACAGCTCTCTGACACTGTCTGTGCTGATGATTCTCTATGGGGTGTGGGAAAGGCTGTCAATCAGCAGGTCACTGCTTCCCTGAGTTTTCATAGACAAATCATTCTGGACGAGGACTTTACACATATAAAATAGGACAGGGTATTCAAAGCCAGAGAGTGCTGAGGGCCTGCAGCAGTCACTCTGTTGATTGCACCCTTCACATGTGTTTCCATCCTGTTTCCATCTGTTCAGTTCCTTCAGCAATTCCCCCGTGTCATGTGGTTTCTGCCCCATCCTATTCTGGGTACTCTTTTCTTAAATATATTGAATAAATCTTATCTTTCTTGAAGTTCCCAAAGTTGGACCCGGCCCGCTTTGTGTTGTTTCCCAACATGCCACGCTGTAACAGATGCCCTTTGACATTGGTAATGATCGCTCTTTCTGTTGTTTTTTCCCTCTCATCTAAGTGTGCTGTTTCCTGGCTGCTCCCAGAAGGCCTAAAGCAAAAAGTGACTTGACCTTTTTGTTTGTCTTCTAGTGACAGACATCACACCTCCAGTGCCATCCCTGTTCCAAAGAGACAAAGCTCCATGTTTGGGGGTGCAGATGTAGGCTTCTCTGGGGGGATCCCTTCCCCAGACAAAGGACATCGAAAACGGGCCAACTCAGAGAATGAGAGACTCCAGTACAAAACGCCTCCTCCCAGCTACAAGTCAGCCTTAACGCAGCCCGGGGCCTCGGTGCCCTCTGTGGGAGACCCGGAGAGGAAGGCTGCCTCTCTGTCCTCCTCCCTAGACACCTCCCTGGACTTCTCCAAAGAAAGCAAGAAAACAGGTGATTTAGGTGACAGCATACATCGGGACCTCGGAGGTGCGGACACCAGCCAGTCACAGGAAGCCCTGCCTGGGCACCCAGCCTCGGTGAATGGCACTGCGCTACCCAGCGAGCAGCCCGGCCCCACCAGCACCCAAGGGCCGGGCAAGTTCCTCCCGGGAGCCGAGCTCTGCTGTGCCGTGGAGCAGGCGGAGGAAATCATCGGGCTGGAGGCCACAGGCTTCGCCTCGGGCGAGCAACTCGAAGCTTTCAGCTGCATCCCGGTGGACAGTGCAGTGGCGGTGGAGTGTGACGAGCAGGTGCTGGGGGAGTTCGAGGAGTTCTCCCGGAGGATCTACGCCCTCAACGAAAACCTGTCCAGCTTCCGCCGACCGCGCAGGAGTTCCGACAAGTGAGGCCAGTGGACAGACAGGACGATCCGCAAGGCGGAAGCTGCACTACCCTTTTTGATAATTATGACACAAATAAGTATCAGTGGAGGATATTCCTCAGAAAGTCTGACTTCGGGAATAGAGGGACTCAGGACCATTGGGTATCAGCAGGCCAGACAAAGTGAGATTTTGCTTTCAAGATCTGCTTCTCAGGCCTGATGAATGAAGGCAAAAGTCACCCTCTAGTTGAAAGCTTATAGCTGGAGTCATCCTATAGGCATTTGTCTGCTTTTTTATTTACACTTCTGTGTTCTCCTCAGAGGGAAGATGATAATATATAAGTAATATAATGAACTCACCTTTAGTTTCTCATAAGCATTTGCCTTCGCTATACTTTATAAGACTTTGTGAAATGGAATATTCAAAAAATAGCTTTCCACCACTTTGGGGGTGGGGGGTCCTGTGGCTCTGTACCTGGGCCCTTGGCCCTGGGTACTACAGTCAATGTGCAGACCTCACTGTAGTCCTGCTTCACTCAGTGGGTCATGTATCCTGAAAGCTGGGACGGCAGATTCACCAGTCTAAACCCAGTGGGCATGACAAGCCATCTCTTCTAATGTGCCATACCCTGATGTAGCCCCCAGATGCGATGAGAACATTGCCTGTGGTAGATCCCAGGGGACCCTCAGGAACCCCAAGATTACCACAGTCAGATGGCAGCCAGTTTCCTTGGGGGCCAAAGTTTTTATGTGGGCAGATGCTGTGATCCAAAATTGGACATACCTACCAGCAGTACACTTCCAGACAAGGACCCCCTAGGTACAAATCCCATGTTAATTTATTGGTTTCAGTCAGAAGGAAGGCATTGTATATGTCAAAGTATGATAGCCAGGCTGTCCAGTTTTCAGACTGCATGACAGTTGGGAGATAGTTGGACTAAGAGACGAGATGAAGCATAGACGATGTGCAGTGTCGTAATATTAAATTATGTTTTTGAAGTCCATTATTCCTGCACTCAGATTGCACTCGCTGTTGCATTATACATTATGTACCCACAGACATTGCCTCAGGGTTGCAAACTCTTTAAGGAAAATTTATCCTCATATCCATGTATTATAAGAAGAATAAAAATTGAATTTACTTCACCTGACCTCATTTGTCCCTTCCTCCTAAACCTAAGTCTCCTTATGTTACATCATGACAGGGCTAGCCTGAGCAAAATTCATGACCATGTCTAAGCTGATGACATTGACTTCATTTGAGTTTAAATACTATGCATAACAACACATATACTTCACAAGCGTATCCCCCAGGAATGGCATTGTCCCACGTAGCAACTGAACTCATAGGTCTCCTAATGTCACCATATTATGTCCAACCATTCCTGGGCTCAGCTTGAGTTGGCAGCTGTTTTGTTGAATGGACTGATTCATACTGTTTCATACACAGTGAACTCTCAGAATTGCTGCATAGCAGACAGGCCCAACTCTAATGCAACTGAAAGCTTTTACTGGATCTGAGGAAATCTATCTAATTCCCATATGAAGGGATGGGGCTTCTTCACACCAGGGAAAGGGCCTTTCTTTGCAGGGAGAGTGTTGCCATCTTGGATATACTCCTGCTATGGAATCCTCCAGGGAAGTAAGGTCTCTAAAAGAGAAAGGCGTTTGAAGGTCAGTGTCAGCAGTAGAGTAGAAGGTGAGCACCATGTGATCTGTGATCTCCCTGGGTATGAGGATGGACTTGAAGCTTCATGTAGACTCATCTAGGCACATTCTGTTGCAGGTGCTCTGATACCACCAAACACAGAGCATCCCTGGCCAGTGTTCATCTCAGCTTCCACACAGGCAGGTCAACCTCTGAACTCAGTTCCTGACATCAGTCTCTATCTTGTGGACTCCCTGAGTCTGGCCTTTGAGGTTACTTCCACAGCATGGAGCCCTGCCCTTGCATGAGGTCACATTGCTCAGACCCTACTAGTAGCTGCTGCCTGTACTTTTGGCATGTCCCCATGCTGTCCAATGATTTATGCATCCAAGCATAAGAAGGTTAGGGTTCAGGGTTTGCATTTCTTTGAATCTGCTGTCTCTGCCATGGCCTGGGTACATATAACATCCAGCAGCAGCTGCAGAATTTGTTTTGCCTCTGTTTAAAGTGCCCAAAGTTAGCCAGGCGTGGTGGCACACACCTCTAATCCCAGCACTTGGGAGGCAAAAGCAGGCAGATCTCTGTGAGATCAAGGCCAGCCTAGTCTACATAGCAGACTCCAGGCCAGCTGAGGCTATAGGGAGACCCTGTCTCTAAAAGTAAACTAATTCATTTAATTAAATAATATTTGCTTGAAAGATTTAAGTTGAAATGGAAGCTCATCGCTGTCCTTTTCTGGGCCGCTAACATCTTCAGTTTTCATATGGGTGAGGCAGTTCTTACAGCCGGCAAACATTATAAAATGAATATTTGATTGTGTTTTCTTTCTCCATTTCCCCTAACCACTTCAGAAATTCCGGAGATTTTTTTTTTCCCCTCAGAATATTAGTGTTGGAAGATTGTACCCAGCTCTATATTTTTAGCCGTTCTAATGGTGCCCATTTATCCTGACCTAACTGGTTATTTAAATAATTTTTTAAACCACCACCAATAATAAATGGCACATGAAGCTGGTCTGTTGGTAATTGGAAGAAAACTTAGCATCTGTATTTATAAAATAAAATTGATTAGTATTTATTTTGAGAGTTAAAAGCATATGTTATTTCCCAGTGATATTTGAGTCCTGTCTTCATTGTTTTGAATTTTATATTGAAGCTAGGTTAACTATGAAAACCTTGTTCTTAAATAGCCAGCCGTTCAACGTTTATCAAACACACTCTGCACATGTGGGACTGGGCTAAAAAGAGTGAGCATAGAAATTACGGAGTCTTAACCTCTGCCATGTTCTCTAGTCGGGGACCACAGCTCTATTTGCAATTGATTATAACTCGTGTGATGACCATGATGGAGATGTATTCCTGCCCTAGTTTGTTTCTTCATTGCTGTGACAAAATACTCTGACCAATACTGACTTGGGGAGGAAAGGGTTTATTTATCTTACATCTCCCGGGTCACAGTTCAGCAGGGAGCCCAAGGAACTCAGGACAGGAACCTGGAGGCAGGAGCTGGAGCACAGGCCATGGAGGAACGCTGCTTACTGGCTTGCTCCCCTGGCCCCTGCTCAGCCTGCTTTTTTATGCAACACAGGCCCACCTGCCCAGGGGTGGCACCACCCACAGTGGGCTGGGCCCTCCCACATCACTCAACAATCAAGAAGGTGCCCCATGGACATGGCCACAGGTCAATTCAATGAAGGCAATTCCCCAATTGAGGCTCCCTCAACCCAGGTATGTCAAGTTGACACCAAAGCTATCCAGCACAATTCCATGCCATTGAAAGGCAGAGAACACTTTTCACTCAATGACTCAAGGATCATGGAGGTTGTGAGGATAAAAGATGTGTCTATACAGGTAGAAGACACAATATGGCAGGGGTCCAGAGGCAAAGCAGGACTGTGCATGTGCGTGTGTGCGTGCGTGTGTGTGTGTGTGTGTGTGTGTGTGTGTCCCCTCATTGCTATGACAAAAGAGACTTAAGGAAGAAGGGGTTTATTTTGTCTTACAGTCCCAAGCATGCAGTCTCATGGTGGAGAAGTCACAGCATCAGGCACTTGAGACAGCTAGTCACATTGCATCTACAATCAGGAAGCACCACCTCACTTTCTCCTTTATATTCAGTCTGAGACCCCAGCCCATGAATTGGTGCTGCCCACAGTGAAGGTGGATCTCCCTACCACAACCCAATCTAGATAATCCCTCACAGGCATAGCCCAAGGCTTTTGATTCCTAGACTATTCCAGATCCTGTCAAGTTGACAGTATTAACCATCCCAGGCCAATCCAGTGGCCACTGCAAAGTCCTTCCCTAGGTGTTTAAAGCAGAGGAGCAAGTCCATTAGACCAGAATCATGACTAGCAGCCAGTCGACGAGGCTGGATTCTAATGAGCGGCCTGAGACTGGTTACTCTCTTTTTCCTTTTCTGGAAAAGGAAAGTGCATCCTTATGAGCTTGTGTCCTCAGGAGCATGCTTAGTAAAGCTTGGTCTTCCTATAGCACGGAGCATTGGCATCGCTTCAGAGGCTGGTTCTAGGCTCATGGCAACTGGTTTCATGGCACAACCTCTGCAACTTTGCTGCCCTGAAGCTATGACCCTCATCAAGTCATTGCACATTTAAAGAACCGTTTATTAATCTACAGAAAACTAGAAAGAGGGCTAGTGAGATGGTCTAGTGGTCAAAGGCAATACTTCCACCAAGTCTGGCAACCTGAGTTTGATCCCTGGAACCCACATGGTGGTAGGAAAGTGCCAACTCCCACAAGCTGCCCTTTAACTGCATGCACTAAGTAAGTGTA